ACATACATATATATATATATATAATATATATATACACACACACACACACATGTACATAGTGCCTAGGCTGGTCTGTACTTCATGTGCACAGTGATCCTCCTGCTTCAGCCTCCCAGTAGCTAAGACTACAAGTGTGTGCAAGCTTTGCTGATTTCTTTTGAAAGTTCCTCTGTAGATATTTTAATTGGATCTGGACAGGGGCAGGGATAGACCTGTGTTTACAGCTCAGTATTCATTTAATACTGGTCTCATGTACATTCTTGTGAGTATTATAAATGGTGGCCAATCTTTGTCTCTTAAAGAAGGTATTAGTTTGGGGAAATAGTCAGTATCTAAGAAATTCTTTGTCAAATCACTTGATGAACTCAGAAGCCCATAACACTTTTCCTAATCAATCTCTGTTTTTCTATAATGGGAAACAAATACATGTAATAAATTAGGAATTAGGAAAAATTAATGATTTATTATCCTTTATAATAAGCAACTATAGATTAGAAGTACTTTCCTAACAACACTAAATGCACATATGGCATGAAATACAGCATATATAAAATTTCATAAAATAATTATTTTACACAAAAATCATGTACACTTTTTATTTTATATAAATGGCTCATTATGCAAAATAAATAATAAAATTATAACTGAATGTTGTCAATGTCTATAACTCCTGCCCCAGGAGACATAACTATGGAGACAGAAAGTGGTCACACTATATCCTCCCTCTGTATGTGGATGGGGCTGGCAATCAAGCATTTAATTATTTTCCCAAAGAAATCCTATCTTTATAACTGTCCAAACATTGGAAAGGAAAAAGCAGATTCATCATCAGCTGGTAGAACCTGTCATATATAGTACTGACTGTTCTTCAGCATTGACTTAGGAAGAATACAAAAAAAAAAAACCACCAATACTTTTTTAGGTGTTTTCTGTCTGTTTGGGACCCAAAAACCTGTCTCACTATTTATTATTGATGAATCAAAATAAGGTTCAGTTTGACAGGGATGTAGTTCTGGATTTTAGACAGGGTAAAAACCCTCCTGTAGGGTCAAACTTGCTAATCTTCAAAGGCCAGAGAGAAAGAAATGGCCATTCATGAAGAGTAAGGGATACTACAAAATCCGCTTTATGTGGTACAGAATCCTTCTGCCAAGAGATCCAGAACATGGTCCTTTGAAGTTCTGGGATGATAGATTTTAAAAACATGCACTGTCTGTCTCCAGAGATGACTTATTTTTCCAGGTAGCACTTGGCTGGTTTGATCTCTTTGTATTTCAGTAGGCAGACTTTTAAAATGACCTCGTATGTTCTGATGCAGACATGGGAGGAAAAGCATGAAGAGAAGGAGTAAGGGAAATTTTTCACAAGAACCTTATGTATAATATTTTAATACTGATTTGTTTAACTGTGACATTTATAATAACAGCAGAAAGTCTAGATTAAGAAACTGACTAAGCCAAATAATGCCATGGGCTCTACAGAATTCTTCACAAAACTGACCCAAATGTCAGGTCTTTTGGGAATAAACACTTTTAAGTGGAAAGACTAATAAAACAAAGAGTGACAATACAAAGAACAGATTAATAAAAAGCGTACTAAGATAAACTCACAGCTAACTTAGAGTCAAAACTAGTCCTTCACTTTTTTCTTTGTAGCTCCTAAATTCATAATAATAGAGAAGAAATTCCTATTCTGTTAACAATGCCACTTCCCAGTACTCCCTGAGGCAAATCTTCCAGCAATGTCATTTCACCATTGACCATAGATTAATTCTTACAGCATCAAAATATTTCATAAACTCCTTTCGAATTAGGTGGATCACTAATTAACTCCTGCTTTGCATACCGATCACCAGTGTGGGCCCTAAACCAAAACAGGAAGAAGGAAGTCAAAAGACTTTAAGTATGAGGGTCACTCTTCTCAGCCAGTCGAGTGGACGGTACTTCCAGTCATCATGAAGGTTCTCCTCATCCTGGGGCTTGCCCTCCTGTCCTCTGTGACCATCCAGGGCAAGGACTTTGAGAGGTGTGAGTTGGCCAAAACTCTCAAAGAAAAAGGAATGGATGGCTTCCACGGAGTCAGCCTGGCAAACTGTAAGTCTGCTGTCCTTGCCTCCAGAGAGTCATGTAAGGAACAGGTACAATGGGAAAGTGAATGGTCTGAGGAGTTTTGGGGGAAGAGACTGGCGTTTCCTTCTGGATTTCTATATTTACAACATTTAAAACATCATTTGCTTCTTTAGAATCAGAGGTGCCAGGTGAAGGAATAATGTCAAGGGAGGAAATAGTCTCCACATTCTATGTCCCAGGGGACCTGCTGAATTCTCCCAGGGCTATTAGATTTGCCAGTCGCCCCAGTTTCCAGCACCCCAAAAGTCTGAGCCTGAGAGACTTGGATTCTGCAGCATAGAGGGATACAGAATTCTTCTTAAGCTTTTCAATCATGACACAGGGGTTCTAACAACAACATTTAAAAGGTTATGGTGAACTCTTTAAAAGGGAAGTAAGAACCTATTTCCTTATAGTCCGTTTTGATGTGTTTTATGAATATTTTTTCTGAACTGATGATTTGTTCATTTCCTTCCACACAATTCCTGATGTGCGACAAAGAAAAGTTGCTTCTATATGGTTCCATATTGGTTCCATCTTTGTCAGTATTACTTCTAGTTTTCTAACTTCAGATAGATATTTTCCAATCAATAACTACTTTTGTTTTTTGTTTGTTTTGTTTTGGTTTGAGACAGCATCTCACTTTGTAGTTGAGATGGACCTGGAACTCACTATGCAGCCCAGGCTGGTCTCAAACTCACAGCAAAACTCCTGCCTCAGCCTCCCGAATGCTGGGATTCCAGGTGTGTGACACCATGCCCAGCTCTGCTTTTTGTTTTAAGAGTAGGAAAAATTTATTGAAGGAAAGATAGCTTCTGCCTAAGAGAAACAGAAGGGGAACTGAAAAGTGGGTCGCCCCCACCCCACTTCTTCAAGATGTTTTTATACAGCAAAGCCATGTGTTGAGAGGCAGGTACAAAGTGGGACAAAACTGTAAGACCCAATGGAAAATCACAAGGTGGGCATGAGGTGGGGCAAAACCATGACCAACCAATAAGGTTACAAGTACAGTCACCCAGGTAATATTGATTAAATGGGGATCAAAAGGGGGAGCAAGTCACATAGTAACTGTACAAGGATTTTCAGTAAGGGTTAGGGTCAGGGATATTACCTAGAAAGGCCGGGTTAAGACCTTGGCCCCTACCCAGGTAAAAACTACTTTAGAATGAAAGGGGGAGTGAAGAGATGAGTGCAGGGGTGAAATTACAGAAGAGACTGTCCTAGTCTCTAAGGCTTGTTCGCAAGATTTTTATTTGACCTCTAAATTCAACTTCAGCTATCACGAGAAAAATTTTACCTCTCAAACAAATTCTACGTTTTCCGATAAGTGCATTTCCCCATGAGCTTATCGTGTGCTACAAATTTACTAAATCCACTCAGGAGCTCTGCTGGTTTTTCTGCTCTAAGCTGAACATTGGCTGAGTAATGTTAGCAGGGAAAGGGTAAAAGCAATGGAAGAGGCAGCCATTTTAATGTTTTAAAAGGTACTTTCACTTTAGTAGCATTGCAACTTGACATTCATTCTAGAAAAGACTCTCAGAGGCCCTTTAAAACTACAGTGTTGGGCTGGACAGAGCGGTTCACACCTGTGCTCCTGGCCACTGAGGAGGGAGGATGCATTTAGCTCAGGAGACCAGCCTGGGCCGCAGCCACACCCTGTGTCAAAACAAGAAGAAAACACTTGAAGTGTAAGGTATTTTGTAGGTTTCATATATCTTTGTATTTGGAAAGTAAGTCACTAGTGACATAAATTATGGAAAAAGAGCCAGGCATGGTGGTGCAGGCCTGTAAACCTAGAGCTCAGGAGGATGGGGCGGGAAAGTTGCCATGATTTCAAGGCCCTCTTGGAGTACAGAGTGATCTCATGGCCGGTCTGAACTGCAGAGTGAAAACTTGTCTCCAAAAGACAAAGAAAAACAGAAGTAGCTATAAAGAACTGATTTTGGTATACAGGGTAAATTATTTTGTGTTACTGTTCATTATTAAAAATGATTTCTTTTCAGGGGTGTGTTTGGCCAAATGGGAGAGTAATTATAAAACACAAGCTACAAACTACAACCCTGGAGACAAAAGCACTGACTATGGGATATTCCAGATTAACAGCCACTACTGGTGCGATGATGGCAAAACCCCAAAGGCTGTTAATGCTTGTGGTGTGTCCTGCAAAGGTATGAAAAGGTGATGCTGGAGTGTTGGCCAGGACCCATCTGGCACAGGGAATAAAGATTGATCACAAATGATGTAGTCTAGAAAGATTCATCTGGGTGCGAGAGAAACTGTATCTTAACTACTGAGTGTAACTGTTTTCCCCAACAAAATTTCCCAAGTAAGAAATATCTGACATCACAAACAAAACAACCAATACAAAACATTAAGAAAAATAATGGCTGTCATAAAAAGTTTGTGTTTTAATATGTATGTTTCTGAAATTATTTATAAATTTAGTGTAAATCGCCTTGTTGAGTCTTTTTCCAGAGCAATGATATTCCTCCTATTTACCTAAGGATACTTTACAAATAATTGTTTGTGTAGTCCATTTGATTATTTCACCTTTTTAAATGAAATGTTCTAACTACAAAGGATGATTGAATGGTTACATAAAAATTGCATTGTGGTAAAGGCACATTGGCATTAATCCCCTCCCGCTACTCTCCCTTCTTGAGACTCAGAAAGCAGCATCCTTCTTGCCACTTTCTGAAGCAGTTCTAGAAGTCTGTTTTGTGGGTTTCTTTCCAAGGTGTCCTCAGAGGCAAGGACTGCTGCCGCCCAATGCCATCCACTGGGAACACAGGCCTGTGACACCACTGTGGCGCGTCCTCCCCCGCCTTGTTCACCGGATCTGGCACCATCCCACTACTGACTTTTTTTTTTTCAAACATGGGACCTTGCACTTGTAAGGCAGGCAGCAGAACCACTGAGCTAAATCCCTGGCCCTCACTTCTAATTCCTTTGCAAAGTCAAAAGGACTTGAAAAGTCCACACTTTGAATCAGTTTGGGACCCTGAGGCAGGTGTGACAGGACTAGTAAAGATATTCATGAGGACTTCCAGAAGTGCTTCCCAAACTGGCAAAAATAACAGAATAGTTGTGTTTATACAGAGGGAAAGTATTTTGAGAAGGATTAATGGCAATGTGTCATTTACCCTCAGAAATGTCTTATTTAAACCATAGGGGCTGGGGGTTTAGCTCAGTGGTTTGGTGGCCTGCCTTGCAAGCGCAAGGACCTGAGTTCAATCCCAGGTACCAAAATAAATAAATAAATAAAAAATAAACCACAGAATACTTTTTATTGTGACTTGGAGAATACTAAAAACCTATATGCCTGTCTAATTTAAGGGTAATTTTCAGATTACTAATTGATTCTTCCACATATATATTTTATTTCCTGAGAGATTTTCATGGGAGTTAGAAAAGGATTGATTTGTTTTCTAAATTTTTTATTTGCATCTCCAAAAAGAAAAAAGAACCTTAATTATTCTAACTCCTAAAAAATTGATTATGAACTTACATATTTGGGATAAAATTCATGTTTTGCTTTGTCTTTTGTCTTATGAGGAAAGAACACACGGGACTTATTCCATGCCAAAGCAGAGAATAATAGACTGCTGAACTGACAATAAAGTAGAAATTACATGTGGGCTCCTTGCCTCATAAAATAGAGCATGAAGTGGAGGGGGTGTAGGGAGAGTAGGGGTAAGGGGAAAAATGAGAACCAAGATCTTTCATGTAAAGGTACAAGATCTCAATGATGAATGTAACTGTACTGTATATATAGAAAGTACCAGTAAACTCAATGAAGAAAAAATAGAGCACAAAAACTTGGTATTCCCAAATACTAAAATATTACATTTTTGGAGAGACAAGACTTATTTTGGAAAACTCTTTACTATCTAGTTAACTTATTTATAAATTATTTTGTATTACATACAAATATAGTCAATGAATAAAAATTAAAATCTAGAAGCAAGAAGAAAGAGCAGCCACATTCATTCTACACGGGGATTGATATCCACTGGTAACTTTTGGTTATATCCTTCCAGAATGTGTATTAATCATGTACATACAGGTAAAGAATGTCAGTAACATGTACACTGAGACACAAGCATGTAGGCAATATGTATACTTCCAGAAATTAAATGTAATTATGCATAATTCTTTGTAGTTTGCATAGTATCACATAAAATATTTTCTATGTCAAAAATTGTATATCTGCACTGTCATTATAAATGGTGAGTAGAATCCTCTTACATGACTAATTTGTAGGTCCAATTCTTACTGAAAAGCACTTAATTTGTTTCCATTTTTCCATTGTGTAAATTGTTATGAACAGCTTTGTGCATATACGCTTGGGTGCACTTCTTATTTCTTTAGTACAATACCTAAGGAAAATATGACTTTTTAAAACAGTGTTTTGTACCAGGAGTACCTTCCACTGCAGTAATTAAGAATTCCAGAGTTTCCAGTGGCTTTCATTAATGAGAAACAAAAAGCTTCATTTCATGTCAAATTGGGATAGATGAGGTTCTTAAACCTTTGCCAGCTAATTCTAAACTTGAAATTTCTCTCACAGTTGTTTTCATTCCTCTGCACCTCTTTTTCAGCTTTGTTGCAAGATGATATCAGTCAGGCTGTAGAATGTGCGAAAAGGGTTGTGAAGGATCCACAAGGCATTGGAGCATGGTATGATTAACTGCTAAGAATAAAGGGTTTTACCTACTGTCAATATATGCAGGGAGAAAAGACTTCAAAGGCCAAAGTGTGTTCTGAAGCTAAAAACTGCACATTTTGGCTCATGCTAAACAAAATCATACCTTCATCCTGAGGATAGACCCTACTGTAAGACACTCAAAATCCTTTTTTTTTTACTCTACCTTTAATTTTAGGGAGATTCAGGTGATTTAAAATTCTCTACAGTCTGATAATGCCTTGAAAGTATTTCTACTATAAGTTAAACGTGCATTGTACATAATCCAACATTTATGTTCAGCATGCTGTGCTCTACTGAGAGTTTGGAGAGAAACAAAGTGTCTTGCATACATGTTCCATTCAGGAAACACCAATATCTGATTGTAGCTATAGCCTGCAGTCTATTTGTTGGTATATACATTATTGCTGCAAAGGATTTGAAGCATGTGTGTCGTAATGAAGATGTGTTTAACTTCTCTGTGTTTCCTTTTCTTTGCAGGGTGGCATGGAGGAAACATTGTCAGAACACAGATGTCAAACCATATATAAAGGGCTGCAAACTATAACTGCAAAATTTTCTTGTTCAGCCCATTTTGTTCCTTTTGCATATAAAGGGAGTAGCAGCTAAGGGAAATTTCACAAAGCCATTGTTTCCTTGCCAAACAGCATCTTACAGAAACAGAAAAATAGAGCTTTTCTCTTAATAGTCTTACTGTTCACTAATATGCTTATTGTGTGGTATTAATCCTGCTTTTTCATTTCATGAACAGGGCAAAAGCTGGTAAATTTTTTCTAATACTTTAGCTCTCAATAAATCAAAGGAACATTCAATTCTTATCAAGGAAATAACCAAGACTTAAGCAGAAACGACAGCAGTACTCACCAATAGTAGATGAAAATACAACAAAACTTCATGTAATAACAAATTCCTCTTATGGAAATTCCTCCCTGTGTTGGCATCTGATACCTTCATCTGCTCAACACTTGCAAAAACAGTAAAAATAACCATGCAATTGGCCAAGATAAAATATTTAAAGAGTAGAATTCCAAATAGCCAAACATTGAGACTGCCTGGTGTAAGAATTTGGTTCTCATAAAGTATTTACCCTTTGATTTCAGTATTGCCTTTGTTACCTTATAGTTATATAGCTTTAAGGCTTGATTCGCAATTTGTATATCAAAGTGTTTTAACCCTTCAAGGAACACTTACATGTATCTTGCTGATCCTGAAGGCACTGACGGGAGATGAAATGGGCTATTCCTGTTCCTCAACTTGGATTCATGTATTTCAATTAAATCTGAGACAGATGAGCTTGTATTACTAATAAATGAGGAATGAAATTATGTTAGATGTATAAAATGCGAACATTATCATTAAAGGCTTTGCAAGGCATGCCTGGACTGTCCTTGTTTATATGCATCTATTGTTTCTGCAGAATGAATTGCCCATGTTTTTAGAAAGTTGTGACACTCTTTTTTTTTTCTTGATATCAGGAATCAAACTCAGGACCTTATGCTTGCGAGGCAGGCAGTGGAACCACTCAGCTAAATCCCAAGCCCAACTCTTAATAACTTTTATGTCTTAATATTGGTTGAGAAGCCTCCACCAGCCTGTGGTCTCATGGGTCCTCCAGTCAGCCTGGCCAGCTCAGTCCCTTGTCTTCTTCTTGCTGCCTCTTCCCTACTACATCTTGCCTAATGAGGGAATGCCCCAGGCTCAAGTCCATAACCACTGCACATATTACAAGTTTACAGCACCAAGCTCCTGGTAGCCCAGTAAGTGCTCTGTGTCTGTGTGGTAAGTGAATGAATCCAGGAGTGATGAAACTCATGTCTCTTGCTAAGGGTTTTATACTAGGATGATATTAATGAGAACCATGATTACAGATCTGTTGTAGTTTAAGCTTCTTGCTGTTTCCAGTTGAGCCTAGATAGCTGCAGAAGTGCTTGACCATTAGTGCAGGCCTACCATGTGCCAGTGCAGGGCTGGTTGCCATGGCAGAAGTAAATAAAAAGGCTTCTGGTCTACCAAGACAAGGAAGCAGGAGACCTACTAAATTCAATTATGATTTCCTGAATTTTGTATTATAGCAAATAGAAACAGATAGAATATTTCATTTTGATGGATGAAATATTCCTAAAATTTATAGAATTATGAGTGTTTTGAAGACAGAGTAGATTGGGATGTGTCTAGCAAGTAGAGAAACAGCAGGGAATTCACTTGAGAAAGGGAAAGTACAATAAATACCAGAATAGTGAACTCTCCTCTGTGGCTGGAGGTGTGTATTTCCCAATACAGTCTAATGAGTCTAATGAGACAGAGGTTCTTAAAAAAGCAATCCACAGATCTTCATTTGGCAAACCAAACCATATCCATTTCCTAGTATCCCAGCTGGGGAGAGACAATGCCACAGAAAGCCACTCTCATCTGAGAAGAAAACGGTCGCTTGGGCCACAGTCCCGTTTCACAGGTGTATACAGCTAGACACAGGGCAGAGCCACAAGAGGAAAATGAGGGCTTCATCTGAACCTTCCAGCACCTGATCCTCTCTAGCGTCAGATTTGTCCCACCTGCTGCAGCCCCTGCAGCTTCTCCCAGTGGCCATGCCGCACCCACAGACCTCAAGCCAGGTCCCCTGCACCTGCAGCCACACCACAGGGGCCAGAACTGGCTGAGGAAGCGTTGGATGCACCTGATGCAACCATGGCCTCTCAAGGGCCTCAACGGCTCAGGAAGCACAGCTGCCCCCGGCAAGCGCATCCTGAAGCCCTTTCACAGAATGCATAATGTTGCTTCCTTCTGTCAGCCCGACCATTGTGATTTATCCACATCAGAGTAAATGATCATAAGACAGAGACACCTGTCCCTATAGTCTTCAGTCACTGAACATGCAAACAAGGAGGGTTCCCTCCAGGTTTCATGGGAATCTGAATCCTGGAATGTCGCGAACTGGCGACGCAGAGCACTGTCCCGCAATGCCTCAAACCTGAAAGAGCAGCGGGGTGGAGATGGGGCAGAGAGAAAGGAAGGACGCCAAGACAAGAGTCTGATCAAGGCGACGTTTATTGCTGGCAAGCACCGGCCTTTTAAAGGGAAAGGCCGAACTATTATGGGCTAGGATTACCATAGTAACCTCAACACCCGCTCCACGGGAACGAGGGTTCACACGGGCAAGAGAAAGCAGGCTCAAGAAAAACAAATTAACAACACTTGCAACTAATAATCATGATTCCCACAATAGGTGGAGGAACCTAACAAAATGGAGGTACAACACCTGACTCCTATAGATAACATCAGATCTTTAACAGGAAGCACCTGACTCCTACAGATCTTTGGCTGTCCGAGTTTCTCCCGTGCAGGGTCAAAACAAGTTTAACACGTGCAGTCCTTAAAAAGGAACAAATGTTGTCTTTCAAAAAGCCAGTGGGCCATGGCTGGCTTCCCACACTGGAATACAGGGCTATTTTCAAGGAAAACAGTTTTATCCCCGGGACTCCCAGGAACCATCTCACTTCCCACTATCCCTTTCATTCTTCTTCAAACAATAATTTAGATCAAATAGCGTAGTTAGTGCAAACTTGCTGTTGCATAAATGAATGCTAGAAACATACCTTTGTCTGAGTTTTGCAAATCAACAAAATTTGTCTGTAAGCTCCCCTTGCCTCCGAGTGGTGAGGCAATGACTGTCTTTTGAATTCTTTTCAGCAGACTTCCTGTCTGGCAGCATCAGAGTCTAAAGACACTGCCAAGTCAGAAATCTGAGGAGACCTTAAACTCAGTCTGTCAAGGTTGTGCCTAAGACGTTCACCCTGGCGCTATTGCTCCTCCTGATGTGGAGGTTCAAAGGCAGGAGGTGCCTGTTCTGAGATGGTCCACTGCCAAGATAGGGCGATCAGTGTCAGCTTCCCCAGCAGCCTCATGCCCTCCCCAGGGCTCTTGGTTTGTCCTTAGCCTCATATGGTAAAGAGAGGCAGGGTTCCTCTCAGCTCTCACACTAACTGTGCCGCTAATGAGGTCATATTGATAAACACTGAAGGCCCCTCATTTTTCTGATTACCCCCTACTTGTTCTATGGATGTGATATTTTTCCTCTCTCTGACATACTCATTATAGTTTATCTTTCATTCTGTTACCTCTATTTTCTCTACGTTCTTCTCTACAGGTTTCTTTGCTCTATTTTTCACATCTGTGCAAGTCTTCAAGTAACTACTAATCTTCTCACCATTATATATAAAATTTAAAGGCTTCTGAGGTGATTGGAAAAAAAATCTTCTATTTTTCACATCTGTGCAAGTCTTCAAGTAACTACTAATCTTCTCACCATTATATATAAAACTTAAAGGCTTCAGAGGTGATTGGAAAAAAAAAATCTGTCAACCTGAGTCGATTACATAACAAAACTGCCCTTTTCGCTGAGTTTCAATGTTGCTATCTGTATCTTTTCTTTTTCTAGAATTTGCCCAGAAAAAAGCTCTGTTGGATCCTGTCACGAGCCGCGACGTCAGGATCCTGCCAGCAGGTCCTAAACCTGAAAGGACGAGGACAGAGAGACGGGAGGCACTTTTCTTCTCATGTTCCTTGCTGTCTTTGTTACAGAACCTCTTCCTTTTATACTTTCCAGCTGCATGGGAGCGAGGGCTACACGGGAGCGAGAGTACCACCCACACATTCCAGAGGGAAGCAATAACAACCATTATGGGTTACATCTGCTACTAGCTGAACTCGCCCATGGCTATGGGCGAGAGCACATCCGTGCCAGCGAGGTGACTCAAAGTTCAATCATGGCTAGGCCTGTGTCAAGGCTCACCATAATGGCTCGCCATAGGATCCTGCTGGGCTGACAGTTTTGGCTGGCAGAAGTGAAGGGTGAGAAGGGAGCAAGATAAAAGCTGTGATTTCTCAGAAGGTGGACTATTAGTAACCTCCCTATTTGTATTATGGCGTTGTTGCCCTAGCTTTACTTTTAGCTGTTGTCTTTCTTTCTTTCTCTCTCTTTCTTCCTTCCTTCCTTCTTCTGTCTGGCATCCAACCCACCATCTTGTTCATGCTAGTAAGTACCCACCACTGAGATACACTGCAGCTGTTGAACTCCGGTCTCAATTTCCAAGTGTCTGGTTGATCTTCCAGGATTGGCTGTGGATGGAAAGCAAATATTTGCTTATTCCAAGGTAGCATAAAACTTGTGCTTCTCCTGCCTCAACCTCCAGAGTAGCTGACGGTATACATGTGGGTCACCACATCTGACTTCAGAATGATATGGGATGATACAAGGACCTCCAAATGATATAAAGGAAATATAACTTCCAACCTGTTAGATGCCTGATACACTGAGTTCATGTTCTCTAAAATCAAAGAATGAATTCTAGGAACCATGGAGGTTAAGAGCAGGAAATATTTTTTTGAGGGAAAGATAGCTTCTGTCTAAGAGAGACAGAAGAGGACTCAGAAAGTGGGTTACTCACAAGCCTACTTCTTAGAGACGTTTTATAGAGCAAAATCATGAGGTGGAGACAAAACCACAAGGTGGGCATAAGGTGGGATAAAACTATGATCGACCAATAAGAT